AACAACAACAAACAAACAGCAGCTGTAACTTCTCCTTTATTTAACAACATGTCTGACATTAGCTCGGGACGCTAAGCTCGAGCAGCCTTCACATTAATGCTCACTAACGTTGTTTCCCGGGTTTATTCACCTTCCCGTTAGTGCAGGTGCCGTTGACAAACAGTGTGACTCTCCTCATGGTGAAGTAAGATCCGTTAAACTCTTCTGCTGCGAGTTTTTATCCATTAAAACAAATTCTCAACAACAATGTCTTTCTCTTCTTCACTCAAACGCACCCGGAAGCGGAATCAGCCAATCAGCGAGTCAGCGAGAAACGCAACAGCCAATCAGCGAGTCAGAGAGAAATGCAACAGCCAATCAGGGAACAGAGGAGGCGGGACTAACACCTCTCCGCAAAGCAAGGCAAAACAGCTCAATATTTTATTTTAATTTAATTTATCTTATTTTAATTTAATTTATCTTATTTTAATTTAATTTATCTTATTTTAATTTAATGTATCTTATTTTATATTATTCTAATTTAATTTATTTTAATTTATTTGATCTTATTTTAATTATTTTAATTTTATTACATTTTATTTACTTAATATCGCTGATTAACTCAAATCTACTTTATACTATTTTATAATTTTAATTATACAACATATAATTAACAAACATTTCTTTGTACAGGATCATTTACATATATATTATTATATGCTATATATTATATACATTATTTGAGATAAAACTTCATCATTCATTCTCACACTATCCAGTTATATAATCAATAATTGCAACCCAATAATAAACAGTATATTTTACTGAAATGTGCCATTCTGAGTAATTTGTTGATTTTGATCATTTAATTTTAAATAATTTTACTTCAATAAAACGTAAAGCAGGACATTTACTTTTTGACATTAGTACAATTGTAGAAAATGTTCTGAAGAGCTAAACAGAGTCACTACAGGGTGTAAATGACTATTACTTTGAATTATAAGGACATAAAAAATCATAAATATTCCTAATTAAGCCTAAATAGGGACATTAAAAGTCCAATAAACTGCAGGGAAGTTGATTAGTTGACAAAATATGAACTAAATAGCAGCACTTCTTTATTTTAAACAGGTATAAAGTCTTTTCTGGCCTTCAGACCAAAACACTTTGTACACTTTTGGATTTTGGAAATAAAGTATTTTTAACCTTGGCTGAGCCTTTTTTTCTAATTTGTAGTTGTGGAGTAATAAAACAATGATACATGTGTTTTACAAAGAGCTTTATTAAACAAACAATTCACCAAGACATAAAATAAGAGCTCCTATTAACATACACATAACTGCAAAGAAATTGTGCAATTTAAGTCCCAGAGTATGTTCATTTGGCAAAGAAAACTAATTCCTCCTGTTCTCTTTTTAAACCCGACAATCAGACGTTAATTTGAGCTCGGCAGCTTTTTTTTTTTGTTTGTTTGCATGAAAAGCCCCAAATTCAAACTTATATTTTTATACTTCAAACAACTGAGCAACTTTACTGTGGCGGTGACCGACTCATCGTGTACAACACAACTCTGAAAGGCTCCGACTGGTTTGAGTCTCCTGTACTGGGAGCTGTGGGAACATTTCACATCCCCAAAGCTTCATAATGATTCAGCAGGTCCAAATATTAAAACAAGACATCAGGTAACATCAGTAAGAAACAGGAGACCAACCGATGTGTGAGCATTAAAAAGTCACTTAATAACGAGGGTCAAAGTTCATAGTACAGTAGGTCAACTGATAGTGTTCGCAGCAGCAGCAACACCCTTTAAATTAAACAGAGAAAAACTGTCAGTGCCAAACAAGAATCTAAACAACTTCAAGAAGCAGTTAGTAGGAAAACAGTCAGGAAATAAAGTGGCTCTACGTGTGTCGAGGACCGGGTCAGCCCTCGTGTTATAGTCCAGTACTCGTTATGGAAAAGTGCTTCAAATAAGGCACATAAAAGGAAGACATTAATATCCACTAAGGCTCAATAAGTGAGAGAGATGTGGAATAATGAACATCCGTGTGTTTGTATCAGACTCACACAGGGCGTCACAATATCAACCTACATGTGAACGTCAGTAATAATCCTCTACACACAACCTTATTCTGTAAAAATGACTTATTGCAACTGTTAACAGTGATACGATGTACTGATTCCTGATTCTGTGTCAGAGGAGGACAGAGGGAGTTTATCTAAAGCCTGAATGCGTCTGAAATTGTGAGAATTTAAGTTAAAAAATCAAACGTTCATTGTAAACTGACTTCTAGAGAAAACTTTCAATCAGACTTTGGATGAAACTACTCTGAAAGATGGTGAGATATGAGTTTTAATTTCATTCACAGTCTGTCCTGGACACAATCGCTCTAATTGATCCTGTCCTAAGCCCCGCCCCTTTTCGCTCTGTGGTCCAATCACAGCTGAGCTGAGACAACCACAGTGAGAAGATGGTTGAAAGAGAAAAGAGACATAAATACAGTCACATCCTAGGTTAGATAATGTTAGCTAGATATATTAAGATTTATTTTTTTAGCTAGATATATTAATATGTGGCTATTTATGTTCCAAAACGCCGGCTAACTAGTTAACGATTGATGTAAATTAAGTAGCTGGTTAACTATTGTTTGGCTAACATGTGACTGTATGTATATATATGTATTTATGTATAAATATATATAATATATATGTAATATGTGTCTCTTTTATCTTTAACCATCCTAACAATCAGGTTCTGACGAGGCTCAACTGCTATTGGAGCAGCGAGCAGAAGGGGCGGGGCTTAGGAAGGGTACAATTATAAAGTAAAGTTTTAATCGATATCGTTCTGGCGGATCGAGCTGACACCCAAACACTTCTCCTCATCGACATACGCACCAGTTTAAAATATCAACCACTGTGTTTTATGGTAAAATACATTTTGTACCATCTTCATTCTCACAACGCAGTTTTCCTGTTTCCCGCCTCAATCCGAGCTGATAAAACTATTCATTGCCGCTGTCCTCTGTGTCGTCGTCTCCAGCTTCAGCCTGTGCGTCTCGCTCTCTTTCTGGGTAGTTGAGGATGTGCCGGTTGGCCTGAATGATGTACTGCTGCTGCTTGAAATACACCTTCAGCACTCCCTTGATCAACACGAAGGCGATGCCACCCTGAGGGGAAAGAGGACAGGGTTTAAATCACAAATCCATCCATGTTTTTCAAGCCCCACCAGGAGGGTTTCAGAAGCAGGTTTGCTACTAGTTGTTGCATGTTTCTGATATTACTGTGTTGATTATAATGAGTATATGTGAACAGCGGTAATGAGTCTGAACCTTTATTTATTCCAACACAGAGTAACATCTCACTGCTTGTTCAACAACTTCCAACTTCACTGAAACTGATCCTGACTGATCGATACGATGGATGATGGATAACGTTAACAGTTACT